ATATATATATATATATAGATGATTAATACTATATGAATGAGAGGAGAGATCACCTTATTGAGATATTTTTTGATATATATTGGAATATCAACCTTGACTTTGGTTCCGCCCAATATTGATCCCATAATAGACTTTCCATACATAATATCAATAGAGTTTATGGAAAATGATGATCCCTCCATGTTTGCCCCAAGAATTATGGTCTTCCCCCCGCCCTGCAAACCGAGCGACAAATATGATTGATAGGCATAGTATATATGAAAGACATTGAGCGGAGAATATTACGTATGTAGTTCGTATGCATGCAGACTTTTTGTACAAAATTATCGTACATTGTTGTATTATGATATTTAGGTGTTGCCACCCTTGTTATTTTCTCAATCACATAAATCAAAGTTTTGGTCCACATAAATTGCAAAAAATGTGAAAGTTGAAACAGCTTTGTGGCGGTTTATACTGCCACTCTGTCCTACTTGTTTACAACGAATGACAGAAACACGATGAAATAACTAAAAAGATCGCGATTCAATAATTTTTTAGATGATGGCGAGAATTCATAATGTTAATAAAGAGTTGGTATCAATAATGATGATATATCATCAATAACAACTATAATGTTTGCTAAGTAACTTTGCAACAAGTTTTTGTGAATCAATTAACTAAATTTTTCATAACTTCTTTCATAAGATGTGTGTGTGTGTGTACGAGCGTGTGTGTGTATTTAAAAGGAATGACAGAAGGCTATTAGATGAGTCCCGACCATCTTTAGGCGTACTAAATATTCGAGTACCACGCCCTACGCACTGGGGAATTCGAACCAGGGACTTGAGGAGACTTACGACCTTCAGAAACGCTGCTCTATCAGCATGCCAAGGTATACGCACAAGATGAATATATATATTTGTCTTGTGAAACATGTAATTTAGATGAATATACCCTTTTTGAGCTACAGAATGCTTCGCTCATAGTTGATGTCAAGCCAATGCACTCAAAGGAATAATCTGCACCACCATTTGTCATCTCCTTGATCACCTATAAAGAATAAAAGAAAAAAATAATAATCATGATAAATATGGGCCTATTTGCATATATAATACCTCGTTCACAGCTTTCTCTCCGATCTCCTTTGGGTTAACAAAATCTGTAATTCCAAACTTCTTTCCTGCACAAACAAAAAAATTTACATGGATACCCTCCACTTTTTACGTATTTGCATATCCAACACCGAACTTTTCATATTTCCGTACGTAAGACGTACACAACACTGTGTACGTCGGAGGTTATTCAGAGGGTACATGGGGGTTTATCCGCGTTATATCCTCTGTAACATCTCTGTAACTTACATGTACTTACCAGAATTACAGAAGCGTGAAATTTATTTGTAGGTTACACGTAGGTTACAGAGAGGTTAAATGGGGTATAACGCGGATATCACCCCCCCTATACCCTCTGAAAAACCTCTCAACATACGCAGCGCTGCGTACGTCTTACGTATGCAAATATTTTCTCTATATTTATAACAACGGTGCAAGACAATGTTTTTTTCAATGTTAAAAAGCAAGTGATATATGTTATGTAATGAAAGATTAGGTGTTAGATATGTAAATACCAATTATTTTGGTGTAAATGTTAGCATATTTACCAATTTCGAATTTGTTTGGGTTCAAATCCACGCCAATGATTTTGGCAGCCCCACGTAACCTTGCTCCTTCCGAAACCTTCAGAAATACAAAGAGAAATTATAAATACCAAAAATAATAACTCTCAAAAGCGAAAATTACACACACACACAAATATATATATAGTACTGTCAAAAATACCTTCAATTCATGCAGGGCACCATTAACTTTAAGGAAAAATATGATCTAGGACCAATTTGAAACAACTATTAATAATCCGGGACTATAAAAAAAATTAAATTTTATAAATTATAATTTATAATAAATTAGTAATAATAATATATTAATATACTATATTATTAATATACTATTATAGATATTATATATTTATATAATATAAGTTATATAATTAATATAATATATTATTTATATATATATTAATATTATGGATGTCAAACTGGCTTGTCGTTCGCGAACAACTCGTGTTCGGCTCGTTCGTTAAGAAACGAACACGAACAGTGACTTCACGAAGAATTTCGAACACGAGCTTATTTTAAACAAACTAAATTTCAAACGAACCGAACACGAACACAAGTTCTGTTCGTTTACACCCTCTATATGTGTGTATACATACATAAGAGCGGGCGAAATAAAAAAAAATTTACCGCCAAACCAACGGCACCGAGGCCAAAGATAACAACTGCAGAGCCCGCCGCGACGTTGGCTTCTTTCCATGCCGCTCCCAACCCTACATATTTGCAAAGAAATTTAGTTTCTCAAACCAATATTCTTAAATGGACATAAATTTAGTAATTGTGCAAACTTTAGGGATCATGTCAATATAAAATAGGGATATTTACATAAAATAGCACACAATTCTTATATATTTACATATCTAACACCCACACATCAACATCAATATTTACATGCATGTCACTCACAAGGTATTATTGGCATAAATATCAAATTCTCGGTGTTAGATGTGTAAATACATAAGGAATTGTGAGGTATTTATGTAAATTTCCCAAAAAAATGTTGGCCTCACAAGATGCATTTTATAGCTATGAGCAAATCACTCAAGTCTAAGAAAAAAAAAAAGAAAAATCAAATCCTTAAAAAGAACTAGAATAGACATCTCTTAAACATTCGACCCACTTTTTCTAATCTCATGGTGTCTTTCTGGTTTGATGAAAAATAAATAAATAAGTACATAAAAAAAAGGTAAATGTATATAATGTCATGTCACATCTTGTAGTTTTATGTCATGTCATTCAATATAAGCGAATGAAATGCTTGTACTTAAAGTTAGAACTTAACAACAAGTAACTTGGCAGGTGGACTAAAAAGGCTAACTTTGCAACTCAATGACAGATCAACTCGACACCTGACTACTAGGTAAGTCTTTTTAGATGTATGCATTTGGTATCTTGATTCTTTTTTTTTCTCTCCTTGAAAGAAAACTACGAAAAAAAGTTATAAGAATGATAAACATGAAACCATGCATTGCTTGCTTCTAAATATATAAAAAAAAAACTTGTTTATTGCTCTAACTCAAAGAATGAATTCTTTAGATTTATTTTTATCAAATATGAATCAAAAGATTTAGATAAAGATGAGTGGTGTGTTGTGCTACGTACAAACGAATTGGCTACAGACAGGCTCTCAGGTCTTACAGGGAACCATCATGGAGGCACTTTGGCTCCACTTATAAGATTATATCTTAGGGGACACGCCTTTAGGCAGTAGTCTCAATTATTTTTTAGCTCATGTTAATTATCATATTTTTTATTCAACTGTTCGTTTTGGCTGACTTGATAATATTACAGGACGAGTTCCTCGAGTGCTATCAGTTATCTTAGGGACACACCTTTTTGTGTGACTAGTTGGATTGTTTTCTTGTATTATATATAATTGTCAAGCCCAAATATATATATTTGATTTTGATATTAACTACATTAAATATAATTTCATGTCCTACCATGTTAGGGGTATATTTGTAAAAATTATGTCCTAAAGTAAGAAGTAGATATCTAAATCTTAAAATTCTAATACAAATGGTAGATTTAATTAGAGTTCAATGTGTCTAAAGTGTGTAAAGAAAGATGAAGAAAGGCAGTAGGGATAACATAAACCTTTCATTAAGTATTAACAACTGCCATTGACTCTCTAATGATAGATCTCTAACTAAAATAAAATTCATTTCTATATAAAGATTCCTAAAGCTTTAAAATAGAGTTAATTACAAATAAAATTAACCCATAAAATACATAGAATTTAATAACTAATCAGTTCAAATAAATTTAGTACTTAGTTATACTCCATTGAACCTCAATATTTTGAATTTTTGAGCTAAGAAAGTATCTATATTTAATTGATTAGCAAAATTAAAATATAAATATATATTTGAGAGAAAATTTGATTTTTGTTAGCCAAATATAATTGATTTATAGATAATTATATAAAAAGAGCGTTAATACAAATTATGTGGGGATGTGGAGGTTTATTAATCATGAATAATTTATGTACCTCTTTACAAAAGAATCCTGAGATCCTAAACTTAAATCTACCATTAATTTTCAATGATTCTAGTATTATGTATACATTAAAAATAATGGTCGGATGCTATGATACAAGACTCTATCAACTCTCATGTGTCTAACCACGCGATCCTGCACTGCAAGGCAGTGCACTCAAGCGGGGTCGAACCTGTGACAGAAAATACTTGCACCGAAGCTACCATCCACATCCAACAAACGATCGGTTGCATGCATGCATACATACATACATACATACATATATAATGATGGTCCCATGTGTCTGTCTACCTTATATGTGCTAATTCGACTCAAATGGATTCAAACTCAGGACAGAGAAAACTTGCGCTGAAGCTACCATCCAACAGACGATCGGTTCCATGCATGCATGCATGCATGCATACATACATACATACATATATAATGATGGTCCGCAACATGTGTCTGTCTACCTTATATGTGCTAATTCGACTCAAATGGATTCAAACTCAGGACAGAGAAAACTTGCGCTGAAGCTACCATCCAACAGACGATCGGTTCCATGCATGCATGCATGCATGCATGCATACATACATACATACATACATACATACATACATACATATATATATATATATACATATATATTTAGATATATATAGATATAGATATATGTCTATTCAAGATAGGGGTGTGCATTATTTCGTTCAAACCGAAACGAACTATTCGAGTAGGTCAATTCGGTTTGGCTTCAAAAATACATCTGGATTTTTTTCATTTTTAAAAACTAAATGTCTGTTCATTGTTGAATTTTAACTAACTAAATTTCGATTTATTCATGACCGAGTGGTTTAAATAGAATTAAATTTGTGTACGGTTCGGTTCAGTTCAAATTTTTGGGTGGTTCGAATGCTCACCCCTAATTAGAAGTTAGAATTATGATGCCTTTCAGAAAAGAATTATGATGCCTTTGGACAAGCAACGAGTACTTATTTCTGAATTTTTGCAGACTTTCTTAGGGTGTGTTTGGGGAAGCTTATTTATAACGGTGGTATTTTAAAAACGCCGCCCATTGTTTGAAAAAAACGTTTAGCGAGCATTTTTAAATAAGTCATTCCCAATTTTACATTAGGCGCGGATCGCGGGTAGGACCCCGTGATCCGCGTTTCATTCGAGCGAAAGACAACTCTCACCCTCATCTCTTTCCGCACGGATCTCTCGACACCGCTCGCCTTCACCTCTGCCTCCTCCTCTCGCACGGATCTCTCGCGATCCCTTCTCTACCGCAACGAAAACAGGAGTGGCGACGAAGGGATCGCTCGTTACAGAGACCACCGAAACTCCCACTTTTCTCATCCTTCTGCACCACTCCGACCAAGGTAAGTATTGTGCCCTACCTCCTCTTGTTTCCGGTTCAAAGCATTCATGCTGAGCTCCAATGTTTTAACCCCTATCCTGACCTTCAATGTTTCTAGGGAATAGATTAGGAAATACCGCAATGATTTTTCGTGCTTTGTTTCTGGTTTAAAGCTTTCCATCCAATAATCGGAAACACTGGAATAGATTTTGCAATGCCGCAATAGTTGTAGGTGCCATGTTACAATTCAAAGCTTTTCATCCATTCTTCTTGAGGCATTGGAATAGATTTTTAAATGTCGTACAATTGTAGGTGCCTTGTTACAGTTCAAAGCTTTTCATCCAATGTTCTTGAGGCATTGGAATAGATTTTTAAATGTCGTACGATTCGCTGGTGCCTTGTTTCTTATTCAAGACTTTCCATCCAATTTTTATTTTGAAATGTTGCAAGACTTGTTGGTTCCTTGTTTTAAGTTCAATGTTTTTTTTTTAAGAAGAATTTTAATTGTGAATCAACCAATTATCTAGAAGGAACTGGTATTTGAGATTCACTTGCTACTTTTTGGAGATTAGAGCTATTTTATTCTTAGGGTGCGTTTGGGGAGCTAATCTGTTGCCACTTTCAGTTTCTTCAGCTCCTCATACATATATTATTCTGTTTGAGTTTACTTTATTTTTAAATTTAAATTAATTTATTTTAAATTAATTTATTTTAAAATAAATTAATTTATTTTAAAATTAGTGTAAAATGTAAAATATTGATTATAATTTATGTTACACATAATTTAAAAATATTTTTTTTGAATTAATGTGTGAATGGTGTTTTATCTACAAAAATCTTCAAATAAGTTATTTTTCAAACGCACAAACCAAACAGCTAAACAATTTATCCGGAACAGGGGCGTAACGATCATTTATCCAGAATCAACTGTTTTTGAAACATACAAACCAAACAGATAGTTCGTTTATCAGGATAAAATGCTTATCTGGATAAGCTGGATAAGTTGCAGCCGCCCAACAGTGACATTTATTCCTACTATGTGGTACCACACCACTGCCGAGGCTTCTGCATATAATTTGAAAAAATAGTACCTGCTTCGATTTCAGCCGTCAGATCTTTGTTAAGTGTCGTGAGAATCTAATGGTTTCTTATTGCAATGCACACATCTTAAAGCAAATCCTATGAACTTCAGCCACCTTTTTTTTTTCTAATTTTTTAGTAGTTTTGCCCAGAACGCCTTAACGACAATATAACAATTATATCATATCGGACACGCACATAATGAGTAAAATAAAATAATTAAAAAAAAATTAGGCGCCAGACCTAGCTAAGAAAATAAAAATTAAATTTAATAAACAATATCAAATATATAAAAAATTTATTAATTTTTTATAATTTATAATGTGTATAAAATAATTTAAATTTATATTTTGTTTGCAATGTTCCAAAAAACTTGTTGCTGATCACATTTCCTTCATTTTGATCATTTATTATTTTTTATAATTCATAATATTACTTTATATATATATATATATATATATATAACGTTATTATTATCTTATTTTATGAATAAATGATAATTATTTATATATATATTTTTAAATTTTAAATATGATTATTCTATCAAACTTTATGCTGCAGATATATGAATAAATAAAATTTGTGTGCCATATACGTTAAATTTGCTTTAATTTAATAATAATTGTGTGAGAAATAAGTGTATTTAAAAAAAAATCATTATTATTGATGTACGTTTAACATATTTTTATCAAGCACAAATCTAGATGCATTTTTTATGAGTGATTTTCCCAATTAAAACTTAAGATCATCGGGCCCGATTTTAATAAATTTACAGTCAAACTGACTTTTTTTTAAACCAATGATGTAAAAATTAGCTCAAGTCGAATCCAATCAGTCCCAGATCAAATTGTTGAAGCATAAGTGGAAGTTTTAGATCTTCAACTGAATTGTCAAATGAACATCAAATTTGATATATTTATAATTGGATCAAGATTCTCAACGAGATGAATTCGAGAAGCTTAAGATTGCTCAATTCTGAGATCATTAAGACTCCTGAGTACTTAAAAATGATATATGATCAAGAGGGTTCAACATGAACCTTCTGATCATGTTGTAAGGGAACTTGTGCGTTAAAATATCAAAACACGTCTCCATAAAAAGGGCTATAAATAGAATATTTCTATTCACTTGACGGGAGAGAGGAGAAGAAAAGATTGAGTAAAAGCCTAGAGCATGTCCTAGAGAGAACCAATTGAGTAATCACAGGTTTTCATAACAGTTAACCATCATCGACCACTATCGATCATTGCCCTCTTGCACCACATGTCATCGACCGTCCACGAATGTTGCTTGGAACCATTGTAGCAACCAACTATTACCTTTATGACCAACTATTGTCTTTATAGCAATCTACGACATTTGCGGCTAACTATTGATATTATAACCAAGAACTACGTTTCTCATAACTCAATTATGACTATTATAGCTAAACTATTATTGTACATCTATGATTATCATCTTGTAATTTTATCTTATCTAATTCAGGAGAATAGTGGACATGTGTACTTACAATTACATAATTGATTACTTTGAATGTGATAGATTTCGTAGTTTTTTCTCGTTTAGAGTTTTTCACATCAAAATTTTGATGTTTCCCCCTACTACTATTTTTTAAATTGTTTGTTTTATGAATCTTAGTGAAAAGCTAAATCATTAAATTATCATTCTACCACCGTGAATCTTTCAACACATAATTGTTTAGCGTTGTACGTGAAAAACAAAGTCCTGTTTATATTAGTACACACTTCTTAAATGGCTAACAAATGCAATACACAAGTTTCTGCTCTAATACTACTCATTATTCTGAGGCAAAATTTCAAAGTTTGGGGCACCAAGTTTCTACATCGTTTTCCCGTGACATTCTCACTCGTGCCCTAAGAAGGTCGAATGAAGAATCTTAAAATGAGATTCTTCTTGTACTTTCACATGCTCGACAAATGAAGTACATACGTACACGTTGAGACACGTAAAACCATCACCGCTATCATACATCTACTGCATCACCATCATCTTCTTCGTGCAATGCAATGCTAAGATGTTAAATTATAACTCTACAGCAACAAATCTTTTAGAATATGAGCTCATAAATAAAATTTGAAATTTTGGTGATATATCTGTAAATACATAACAATTGAGTGATGCGTCTGTAAATCTTCCAAATGTCAAACTAATGTAATATTTAAAATAAAAAAGGCCAGCAACTTTGCAGAATTAAATCATTAATTTACAAACATACCAGTGGAGATGCCACAGCCCAGCAGGCAGGCTCGATCCGACGGCATCCCCGGCTCCAACTTCACTACGGAGGCGACGTCGACGACGGTATATTCCGAGAAGCTCGAGATGCCGAACATGTTATTAATGGCAGCGCCGCCGCCGCGTCGGTGATCCTGCTGACGCCGTCCCGCGGCATTCCAACGAGCCTCGCCGGAACCCCTGTGCAGAAATTGCTTTCATTCGACCGGCAAACCCCGCACTCGCCGCAGCCGCATTTCGGCTGGTACATCGGAACCACCCTGTCCCCCACCACCACCTCCTCCACTCCTTCTCCCACGCTCTCCACAACCCTACAAGTATCCAAAAGAAAATTCAGACTTATTTCTTTTTATATTTATATATCTAACATATAATTATATATTTATGGTCACCAAACTCTAGTGGAAGACCAGCCGACCCGTCGAGCTGGTCGAGCACTACCCTCCAGCTTACCAGTCAACCAAAAGCAACCAATCGACCATCGGGCGACACGTCTGAACGGCCAACTTTCATGCGCCACATTGTCATACATATCAATGTTAGGTGATGTGACGACCGATCATTAGCCGCCCTATATTCCTAATTCCTAACGTTTAATCCCTTAGATACAGACAAATGTGAACTTAACGATCATTAAAAATATATTTCACAATAATTTATTTTAATAATTATTTTAATTATATAATCACGTAAATCGAAAGATAATAATTTTTAAATTAATAAAAATATCATCTATCAAATTCAAATTCAAGCTCGTGAAAATGAAAAATTATTCCATGCGGATCGGCGTCCGCATGCAGCTTGCGTGCG